TAAGCTGGGACTGTGGGGGCTGGTTAGGTGGCTACTGGGGCTGTCCAGGTGACAGGTAATGGAGTCCTAAAAAGGGAGGTTGCTTTGGGAAATGATATCAGGAAGCTTTTTGAACAGAGTGGAAGCTGGGACCAGGTAGCTGCATGAGAAGAAAAGTCCAAAATGACCTCAGCTGGTGTATCTGAAATGTCTATTTATGGGAGAAGGAGGAGGTCAAGTGTGGCACATTTCCACAGTGGAATATTAGACTGTGGAGAAAAGGAGTCCACAGCACAACTTGTCATAAGCAGGGTACATTTGAGGGGGGAAATGGAAGAAAGATACACAGAGCGCCGCTGGTTACACAGTGCTTTGAAGCCATGCGTGTGTAAGCCACATATACATGTATGAACATTTAAAGAATTTGTAGGAATGATGAATAACAAATTCAGGATGGTGGTTGCCTCTCTGGGAAAGGGAAGATGCCATGAGAAAGGGTACTCAAGGGGCTTCAAGTATATCGATGATACTTATTCTTGAGCCGGCTGGTAGGAACACAGGGGTTCATCCTGTCATTCCCGATACTTTTGTGTGGCTTGATTATTTCATTTACAAACAAAACAACGATTCCAAGGTTTGGGTCCTGGGCCAAAGGAAGAAATGTCACTCCTTCAGCCCCTCTGGCCTCAAGATAGGGCCAAGAAAGAGGTCTGTCATTCAGCTGGGCCTGCAGGGAGGGGCAGGACAAACAAGCTGGACCTGCGCAGAGGGGCTGGAGAGATGAAACTTGCTGAAGTACTGATCCATCTGGGCCCACATCTGGTTGTGGGCCAAGAAACGTGGCTGGGAAGGAAGGCAGAGATGGAGGAGGCAATCAGGGAGGCGAGCCGGGTGAGAGGGCAGCCTGAGGCCCAGGCAGGGGCTCTGCACGGCGGGGCTGAGGTGCTCAGGGAGGGCAAAGCCTGGAAGAACCACCCCTGCTCAACCACTACCATCACCCCCACGGACTTGGCAACAGGAAGCCCCTGGCGCCCTAGGAGGGCATCTACTCTGAGAGAAGGGAGTTGTGTTAAGGAGGCCATGTATGGAGCGGGAAGGGAGGCAGGGGTGTAAACTCTCTCTCACCGAGTTTAGCAGCAGAGGGAGAGAGCAAGTGAGGACCCCAGCAGGGAAGGGAATAGACTTGGCATGTCAAGAAGAGGTTTTACTATCTGTTTTCTTGACTGTATTGATGATGTGGGTTTTGATACATATTTAAGTGGGGGTAGGAGAGGGCAGCAGAGTTTCAGCATGGCACTCCCATGAGGACCCGCCCTTGTCCATCAGACAAGGTGCCTCTCATACCCCGTCCTTGTTATCTCCCCCAGGGCCCGGGCTCAGCTGCTCAGGAAGAGGGCTGGGGTTCGCTCCGGGAGGGGGAGTCTGGACATAGTCATGGGACTCACAAATGGCCCGGAGGAGGGAGGGAGCAGAGGCCCCGGCCTGGACCTGGTGATGCTGATCCAAGGGAGGGGAGACCCAGCCTAGTGAAGGTGAAGGTGAAGTTGCCTCTGACACCCGACGTGGAGGTGAAAGAGAAGTAGGGAAGTGGAGGTGGGGCAGGGGGCTGGTCAGCGCCTGGAGCCAAGACATCGCCCTGAGGCCTTGACCCTGGAGGCCTGCCCACCCCCTTCGCCCCTGCCCTCTGCGCTGGCCACCCTCACCCACCCGCCCCTCTGTCCACACACATTCCTCTCCTCCATCTCTCCTCTTCCTCATTCTGCTCTTCTCCCTGCTTCCCAAAGAACACTTGGCCATGAAGTGTTCCATGAAGTGGCCATGAAGGCTGTTCCCAGATGCCTTCTCCCACAGTCCATGCTGGTCCTCACCATCACCCTCCCCCCAGGCCTGACCCAAGCCCAGCTTGGCTATCTGATTTTGCTTCCACACCAGAAAGTCAGTCACCCCAGACCAGCCCTCTGATCCTCCCCGCACCTTGGAGCACATGTGAGTCCATCTACAAATCTTTACGGAACCCCTGCTCTCTACCCAGGCTGGTGTCGAGTGCCATGAGGAATGCTGGAAGGAATAGCTAAGCACAGACCCTGCCCTTGCGGGGTAGACAGAACAGTTAGGGAAGAAAGACAAATATGTAAAGGAGTGAAATAATAAATCAAGTTAAGGCAGCATGCAAAAGAACATGCTTTTTTCTGTTTTGCTGTGAGCACTCTTTGGTACAAAGAAGGTCCTTCTAATGACACTTTCAAGGAGTTTAATTATTTAAACGATCTTCCTATCAAAGTGTTATTAATATGGTGACAATGAAGGCAGCAGCATAGAAAAGAATAGACTCAGACAAATAATGAAATATAACTATAAAGCCAATCACTCACACATTCAACATTTATTGAGAACTTAATGCATACGAGATACAGAACTAAGCCCTGAATGTACAGGATGGAGAAGACCCAGTCCCTCCCCTCGAATAACCCCAAAGAAGGACAGATGTGTAAGCCAAAAATGGCAATACGACTTTTTGATTCAAGGTTGGAAACCTAGAAGAGGGTGTGGGCAATTTCTGGGGTAACTCAGGGAGCTCAGTGTCAGAGACAGGATTTACAATTAGTCTTGGGAGGTGTGCATGCAGAGGGATCAGGGTCAGGAAGGGACCGGTGTGTTCAGAGTGGCTGTAACCAGGCCCAGTGGTCTTAACAGGAGAAGCAGGCTGGGAGAGGCAGATATAGTAGTCATATTGTGGAAACTCACCTGCCTACTCAGAAACTGGGACTTTTTGCTCTAGACAAAATATTTGGGGGCCATGAGTGACATGACTATGGCAAGTTTATTTGTTTGAAGACATTTCGTAGATTAGATGTGAAGGGAAAATACTTGAAGATCACTAGCAGGTTGTTCGTTCAGGCCTGGGTATGAGAGGCCGGATCTCAGTGGCTAAAGGGGAGGGACCCCAGAGGAAGAGAGAAGGGGAGAGTGCCCACAAACAGGAGGCGAAGGGCACAAAGGGGCAGAGAGGACCCTGTGGTGTTAAACTGTAGGTGACAGAGCAGCAGGAGCCACTGGCAGAAATCAGGACCTACAGAGAATCAGAACCTTATTTTGCAGAAGAGGATGGGGGAGTGGTCTGGGTCAAGTTGAACTTGAGGTGACCACAGAGAGTTCAACTGGAGCACCTCTAATTAGAGGTGGCAAGTTGAGCTCATGTGTGTTCCTCCTGAAGCCCTGCTAAACTACACAGAGGGACTTGTTCTTAAGGTGTAGATTCATAGAAACCAGTAGAACAAGGGAGGAGACCACAGCAACAAGTTTTGGAAGCTGGAGAGAGGATGGGCAGAGAAAGCTGAGTCCTCAGCCAGAGATGAGGGCAGCTGAGAAGCAGCCCCACTCCCCAACTCAGGGCCCGGGGGTCCGGGCTAGATTGGCATGGGTTACTTCTAGAAGCAGGGATAAGGGTGGATTTTAAAAAGTAACGCGGAAGTGGTTTTTAGGGGGTGGGAGGAAGGAAGGATGAATAGATGGAGCACAGGATTTTTAGGGCAGTGAAAATAATGTGAAACTATATGGCAAGTACGTGCCTTAACACATTTGTCCAAACCCATAGAATGTTCAACACCCAGGGTGGACACTCATGTAAACTATGGACTTTGGGGACAATGGTGTGTCCATGTAGGTTCATCCACTGTAACAAATGTCCCCTGGGGTGAGAACGTTGATGGTAAAGGAGGCTGTGCATATGTGGGCAGGAGAGCAGGGGGTGTACGGGAACTCGCTAGACTCTCCACTCAACTTTTCTGTGAACCTAAAACTTCTCTAAAAAGAAATTAAGTCTATGGGCTTCCCTGGCGGTACAGTGGTTTAAGTCTTCACCTTCCAGTGCAGGGAGTGTGGGTTCAGTCCCTGGTCTGGGAACTAAGATCCCACATGCTTCCTGGCCCAAAGGCCAAAAACCATAAAACAGAAGCAATAGTGTAACAAATTCAATGAAGACTTTGAAAATGGTCCCCATCAAAAAAAATCTTTAAAAAATAAAGTCTGTTAAAAAAAAAAGCAAACAAGCTAAAAGTCAATTTAAGGAGCAGTTAGTCCTCCAAACCCCTCCCTTACTCTGTGCAGGTCAGTCCCTTTCCCTCCGGGTATCATCGCAGGTAATGGGAGATGCATATTCTAGAGTGAGTAAGACCGAGAGTCTTCAGGCTGGGGAACACAGATGTAGGAGAGGCAGGGTCACGACAGGGGGAGGGCATGAGAGACTCTGACATCAAGAGGGACATTTTTTTTTTTTTTTAGTGTTTTTAAAAATGCATTTATTTATCTGTTTAGTTCTGGTTGCCCTGGGTCTTCATTGCTACTCGAGGACTTTTCTCTAGCTGCAGCGAGCAGGGGCTACTCTTCGTTGCAGTGCACGGGCTTCTCTGTTGTGGAGCACAGGCTCTAGACCCATGGGCTTTAGTAGTTGTGGCACATGGACTTTGTTGCCCCACAGCACGTGGGATCGTCCCAGACCAGGGTTAAACCCATGTCCCTTGCATTTGCAGGCGATGCTTAACCACTGTACCACCAAGGAAATCCTCAAGGGTTTCTCAAGGGCAGAGGCAGCAAACGCCAGCCCACAGTTGCAAAGCTTTTAGAGTTCCATTCTTCAACAGGAACCCAAAGATTCACAGACACATGAGGAAGGCATCTAATATGAAAAACAGAGATCAAAACAAACAGATGAAAGCAATTTGGAGGATATTGTTGTGCAGACAGAAGGAAATTTTTTTATTTTATTTTATTTTTTAATTTTTAATTTTTTTTAGGAAACTTTAAAAAAAATTATTTATTCTCAGAGAAATATGATATTGCAACTGTGAGATCAGAATAAGATGCTATAAAAATGAACATTCAGGGAACAAAATAAGGTCTCAGAGATTTAAAATATAACAGGAATGAAAATTAAACAGGAAGACTGGAAGTTAAAGATATCCTCCCAAACTGCAGCAAACAAAGAAAGAAAACAGGAGGAAAAAAAAAAAACAGAAGAGAAAAATACCTTAAAAATTATTTCAAGAGCTCTTTCCTTTCAGCAGGCCACAGACAATCCTCCCTGCCTGGTGTTACTGGTATTGTAAGAACAAGTCATACCCAAATCTCCCTTCTGCTTCTGCCAAAGTGTCCCTGATGCTAAGATTAGTATCACTGACCTGGGGCAGAAGAAGGCAAAAATGGATGAGTTCCTACTCTGTGACCACATGGTATTGGATGCATATCAGCCGTTCTCCTCTAAAGCCCTGGAGGCTGCCCATATTTGTGCCAACAAGTACATGGTGAAAAGCTGTGGCAAAGGTGGTTTTCACATCCGAGTGCAGCTCCACCCCTTCTATGTCACCTGCATCAACAAGATGTTGTCCTGTGCTAGAGTGATAGACTCCAGACAGGTATGCAAATGCCTTTGGAGAGCCCCAGGGCACGGTGTCCAGGATCCACACTGGCCAAGTCACGATGTCCATCCTCACCACGCTGCAGAACAGAAAGCCTGTGACTGAAGTGCTCTGCAGAGCCAAGGGAAAGTTTCCTGGACACCTGAAGATCCATATCTCCAAGAAGCGGGGATTTACTAAGTTTAAAGCAGATGATTTTGAAAACACGGTGGCAGAAAAGCAGTTCATCCCAGATGGGTGTGGGGCCAAATATATCCCCAGTCGTGGCCCTCAGAACAAATGGTGGCCCTTGTGTTCATGAGAGTCATGGCACTGTCCCCTGCTTACGCCCACCAATAAATCCTACTTTCCAATCAAAAAAAAAAATTACTTCAAGAGCATTTCCCAGAATTGATGGACATGAGTTTCCAAACTGAATAGGCCAAAGAGCATATAAAAATGTCCCCTGACCAAAGCACAGTATCATGGAATTTGAGAACACTACTGACAAAGAGAAGATATTGCAAACTTCTAGAAAGAAAACTGAATCACGTGAAAGGACCAGGACTCAAAACAGCATTGGTTGTTTAAGAGAACTGTCATAGAATATGAGGGAACTTTGCCTTCAAAGTTCTAAGGGAAGATTTTTTCCAACTTTTTATTTTATTTTTTAATTTTTAATTTTTTTTAGGAAACTTTAAAAAAAATTATTTATTCTCAGAGAAATATGATATTGCAACTGTGAGATCAGAATAAGATGCTATAAAAATGAACATTCAGGGAACAAAATAAGGTCTCAGAGATTTAAAATATAACAGGAATGAAAATTAAACAGGAAGACTGGAAGTTAAAGATATCCTCCCAAACTGCAGCAAACAAAGAAAGAAAACAGGAGGAAAAAAAAAAAAACAGAAGAGAAAAATACCTTAAAAATTATTTCAAGAGCTCTTTCCTTTCAGCAGGCCACAGACAATCCTCCCTGCCTGGTGTTACTGGTATTGTAAGAACAAGTCATACCCAAATCTCCCTTCTGCTTCTGCCAAAGTGTCCCTGATGCTAAGATTAGTATCACTGACCTGGGGCAGAAGAAGGCAAAAATGGATGAGTTCCTACTCTGTGACCACATGGTATTGGATGCATATCAGCCGTTCTCCTCTAAAGCCCTGGAGGCTGCCCATATTTGTGCCAACAAGTACATGGTGAAAAGCTGTGGCAAAGGTGGTTTTCACATCCGAGTGCAGCTCCACCCCTTCTATGTCACCTGCATCAACAAGATGTTGTCCTGTGCTAGAGTGATAGACTCCAGACAGGTATGCAAATGCCTTTGGAGAGCCCCAGGGCACGGTGTCCAGGATCCACACTGGCCAAGTCACGATGTCCATCCTCACCACGCTGCAGAACAGAAAGCCTGTGACTGAAGTGCTCTGCAGAGCCAAGGGAAAGTTTCCTGGACACCTGAAGATCCATATCTCCAAGAAGCGGGGATTTACTAAGTTTAAAGCAGATGATTTTGAAAACACGGTGGCAGAAAAGCAGTTCATCCCAGATGGGTGTGGGGCCAAATATATCCCCAGTCGTGGCCCTCAGAACAAATGGTGGCCCTTGTGTTCATGAGAGTCATGGCACTGTCCCCTGCTTACGCCCACCAATAAATCCTACTTTCCAATCAAAAAAAAAATTACTTCAAGAGCATTTCCCAGAATTGATGGACATGAGTTTCCAAACTGAATAGGCCAAAGAGCATATAAAAATGTCCCCTGACCAAAGCACAGCATCATGGAATTTGAGAACACTACTGACAAAGAGAAGATATTGCAAACTTCTAGAAAGAAAACTGAATCACGTGAAAGGACCAGGACTCAAAACAGCATTGGTTGTTTAAGAGAACTGTCATAGAATATGAGGGAACTTTGCCTTCAAATTTCTAAGGGAAGATTTTTTCCAACCTAAAATTCCATACCCTGCTAAACTATTAAGTGTAAAACACAAACATGCCAAGACATGCAAATTCTCCCCAAATTACAACTTCCATTGACCGTGTCTCACAGTGGGAGGGTGGAGAGTGTGTTCCCTCTGCAAACACAAGACAAAGACATCAGAAAAGCAACAGAAGAGAGAGATTATGATCAGTGCCTGAAATAGAGAGCCAGTAGGTCCTCCTGAAGAAGTGAAAGGGCTCTGGGAGCAATTTCTTCAAGAAGATGAAATGCACAGAATGCCTAAAACTTGGACTTATTGAGATGAGATCTATACTACCAGGCAAGATTTGGGGACTGAATCACTAACATGGATAAGGAAAACAAAGCAAAGGGCAGCTCACTCCATAGAGAACAAATGTTGAAATAATATTAATAATATACTACGTGGTTTAGCTATAAATAACAATTAGTCATAAAAATGAAGACATTGATGAGACTTCCCTGGTGGCCCAGTGGTTAAGACTCTGTGCTTCCGCTGCAGGGGGCCCAGGTTCAATTCCCCCGATTGGGGAGTTAAGATCCCACAGGCTGTGAGGTGCAGCCAAAAAAATTAAATTTAATTTAAAAAAGTGAAGACATTGAGTTTCCATCCAACCAAGAGGATGATATAACCATATTGGGAGAATGGGGAGACAGGCAGGGGTTCTAAGTGAAGGTTCTAATGGGGAGGGTGGGTAAAAGAAAATTTAATCTACATCTTATAAAGTGAGAACTTAGGGACTTCCCTGCAGTCCAGTGGTTAAGACTTCACCTTCCAATGCAAGGGGTGCGGGTTCAATCCTTGGTCAAGGAGCTAAGATCTCTCGTGCCTCCCAGCCAAAAAGCTAAAACATAAAACAGAAGCAAGATTTCAACAAATTCAATAAAAACTTAAAGATCCACACTGAAAAAAAAAACTTAAAAAAAAATTAAGTAAGAACTTAACTGGCACCTAATACTGAAAAGTCAAAAACTAGTGATGCAAGTCTCTTCTACAGAAATGTGGAATGCTAAAACTCAAAGGAATCATCTAAAAGAATTGACAATGCCTGTGCCTGGGGAGTTGGGGTGGGCTGAGGGGGTGGCAGTGGGGGCCAGAGAGCCAGGTCACTGCTGCTTTCTTTACAAGGCTGATAGAGCTCCATCTTTTCAACCATGGCGCAGCACGTAATCCTCTCTGGTCTAATTTCATGCTTATTCACCTGCCTGTCTCCCAGAAGGCGAGCTTTACAAAAACCAGCACCCAGCCCAGTACGTGTCAGACAGCAGACCACATGCTTGTGGACTGAATCATCGTAGGTTCAAGCTGGGAGGAAACTTTCATTTCAACCTGATCGTTTTACAGGTTAGAAAACTGAAGCCCCCAAAAGAAAGGGGATGTTCCCTAGGGCTCAGGTGGTGAGTGACAGCTCCCAGGCTACACTGTCAACCTCTGGATTCTCTGTCCATCCTCCAGAATGGGGAGACAGGCAGGGGTTCTAAGTGAAGGTTCTAATGGGGAGGGTGGGTAAAAGAAAATTTAATCTACATCTTATAAAGTGAGAACTTAGGGACTTCCCTGCAGTCCAGTGGTTAAGACTTCACCTTCCAATGCAAGGGATGCGGGTTCAATACTTGGTCAGGGAGCTAAGATCTCTCATGCCTCCCAGCCAAAAAGCTAAAACATAAAACAGAAGCAAGATTTCAACAAATTCAATAAAAACTTAAAGATCCACACTGAAAAAAAAACTTAAAAAAAAATTAAGTAAGAACTTAACTGGCATCTAATACTGAAAAGTCAAAAACTAGTGATGCAAGTCTCTTCTACAGAAATGTGCGATGCTAAAACTCAAAGGAATCATCTAAAAGAATTGACAATGCCTGTGCCTGGGGAGTTGGGGTGGGCTGAGGGGGTGGCAGTGGGGGCCAGAGAGCCAGGTCACTGCTGCTTTCTTTACAAGGCTGATAGAGCTCCATCTTTTCAACCATGGCGCAGCACGTAATCCTCTCTGGTCTAATTTCATGCTTATTCACCTGCCTGTCTCCCAGAAGGCGAGCTTTACAAAAACCAGCACCCAGCCCAGTACGTGTCAGACAGCAGACCACATGCTTGTGGACTGAATCATCGTAGGTTCAAGCTGGGAGGAAACTTTCATTTCAACCTGATCGTTTTACAGGTTAGAAAACTGAAGCCCCCAAAAGAAAGGGGATGTTCCCTAGGGCTCAGGTGGTGAGTGACAGCTCCCAGGCTACACTGTCAACCTCTGGATTCTCTGTCCATCCTCCCGCAAGCCCAGGGGCTGCCTTCGAATCTGCAGAATCAGTGACAGTTTGAAAACTGAGCAGCTCTCGTGGGGAGAGGATTTAAAGAGGGAGGAGAGGCAACAGGAAGAGGGAAGACAAGCGCCCGGGCAGAGGTAGAAGTGGTTCTTACTGGAATGCCGTGGCCTGGCCAAGCCAGGAGAATGGCAGCATCTCCCAGAAGGGGAGGTGACCACCTGGGACCCACCAGGGGCTTCTCCCTCTGAGACCCCACTGATGCTCAGAGCTCCAGATCATACCATGGCTTGCCATCCAGGGATCAGCATGATGCTACTGCTGCTGCCAAGTTACAGAATGGCCCCTGGGATGCTGCAGCAGAAAAACGGCACATCTCCGTGTTTTCCGGGAGCAAAAGCAGCCCCAAAGGGCACTCACTGCTGCTTCCGAATACCACCCGGTACATCCACGTTGGCATTCCCAGGTGGCTGTAGTGGTAGATAACCCACCTGCCAGTGCAGGTAGATGTAAGAGACACAGGTTCAATCCCTTGGTGGGGAAGATCCCTTAGAGAAGGTCACAGCAACCCACTCCAGTGTGCTAGCCTACAGAATCCCATGGACAGAGGAGCCAGGCGAGCTGCAGTCCATAGGGTCGCACACAGTCAGACAGGACAGGAGAGACTTAGCATGCACACACATCCACGTTAGGTGGAAATCAGCTTTCACCCAGATCCCTATTGTCAGCAAGGTCTGAGGCGTCTGGCTTTCAGCTCCATGACTTCTCCAGAGAAGGGTGGACCGGAGGTTGAGAGTGACGCACCACAGTGCCCTCTGGTGATTTCACGTCATCCCTCTCCCCTCTCCCTCTGTCCCAGGCTACTGCACAGAAGTGTCCTTCTCTTCCCAGGGCTCCAGTGAATGCCTGTCTGTTAGTAAATTCACACAAACTGATGCCTGGAGGGACTCTTGGCTACCCAGCTCTGAATCCCGGTGCGGGTTCTACAGGCCTGAGGAGATACTAGTCTTGTCAATGTACCATCTCATCCATCTAAGCATCGAGAATCAAGAGGGGAGGGAAATTTCATTTTGGCTTGTGACTCGGGAAGACTATTCAGCAGGATGCTGGTAGGCAGGCAGGGGGGAGTCCTGTGCCAGGGAAATGCCCACCGTGGGCAGGCCCGTATCCATCACAGAGCAGGCCCTGAGTGTCAGGAGGCTGGCTACATGGGTCCCCAGGTTAGCGAGCTGGACAAGCCAGGTGATCTTTTTCAGAGATAAGATCCAGGTGGGATCATGTGAAGTCTAGTGGCGGCCCAGGCAGTGTAGGGGGCTGGGAATCTGTCTGGGTCAAAGAGCTGGTGGCTCAGGACTTCTCTGGTGGTCCAGTGGCTAAGACCCCAAACTCTCAATTCAGGAGGCCCAGTTCCATCCCTGGTCAAGGAAATAAATCCCACATGCCGCAAATAGGAGTTGGTATGCCACAACTAAGACCTGATGCAGGACTTCCCTGGTGGCTCAGTGGTAAAAGAATCTGCCTGCCCATGCAGGGGACATGGGTCTGATCCCTGATCCTGGAAGATCCCACATGCCTCGGAGCAGCTAAGCCCGAGCACCATAACTATTGAGCCTGTGCTCTAGAGCCCGGGAAGCACAACTTCTGAGCCCACGGGCCCTAGAATCCACGTTCCCTGACAAGAGAGGCCACCGCTACGAGGAGCCTGTGCGCTGCAACGAAGAGTAGCCCCTCTCTCCACAACTAGAAAAAGCCTGGGCAGCAGCAAAGACCCAGCACAGCCAAAATAAATACATACATACATAAATACGATTATATATATATATAAGACCTGGCTCAGCCAAATTAATACAAAATTTTTTAAAAGTTGGTGGCCGTGGAGCCCCTTTCTCCCAGCATTAGCCCTCACTGCAGAACCTGGCCTCCTGTTCCATCTTGCACTGCCCTCCTCAGCCTGCTGGGCTCTGGCTGGGGTACCAGGAGGGCCCTGGACCAGGGCAAATTGGATGGCATCTCTCTCTCCCCGCTGGCATGGGAATACAGGATCCCTCCTGGTCTCCCCACCATCCTCTTGCCTCGCCCATCTTGGTGTCAGGCACACAAGGAGTCAAAGAGCTGGTGGCTCAGGACTTCTCTGGTGGTCCAGTGGCTAAGACCCCAAACTCTCAATTCAGGAGGCCCAGTTCCATCCCTGGTCAAGGAAATAAATCCCACATGCCGCAAATAGGAGTTGGTATGCCACAACTAAGACCTGATGCAGGACTTCCCTGGTGGCTCAGTGGTAAAAGAATCTGCCTGCCCATGCAGGGGACATGGGTCTGATCCCTGATCCTGGAAGATCCCACATGCCTCGGAGCAGCTAAGCCCGAGCACCATAACTATTGAGCCTGTGCTCTAGAGCCCGGGAAGCACAACTTCTGAGCCCACGGGCCCTAGAATCCACGTTCCCTGACAAGAGAGGCCACCGCTACGAGGAGCCTGTGCGCTGCAACGAAGAGTAGCCCCTCTCTCCACAACTAGAAAAAGCCTGGGCAGCAGCAAAGACCCAGCACAGCCAAAATAAATACATACATACATAAATACGATTATATATATATATAAGACCTGGCTCAGCCAAATTAATACAAAATTTTTTAAAAGTTGGTGGCCGTGGAGCCCCTTTCTCCCAGCATTAGCCCTCACTGCAGAACCTGGCCTCCTGTTCCATCTTGCACTGCCCTCCTCAGCCTGCTGGGCTCTGGCTGGGGTACCAGGAGGGCCCTGGACCAGGGCAAATTGGATGGCATCTCTCTCTCCCCGCTGGCATGGGAATACAGGATCCCTCCTGGTCTCCCCACCATCCTCTTGCCTCGCCCATCTTGGAGTCAGACACACAAGGTCCAGTCTACACTCCAGAACTTTTCTATTAATAGCTATGAAACCATGGGCTTGGTGACATCACCTTTCTGAGCCTGCGTTTTCCCATCTGTTAAATGGAGTGAAAGGTACCATTCTCCCAGGAATGTTGTGAGGATTAAACATAACACGTGTAAGGCTGTTGGTGGTGCTTGGCATACAATCAGGTGCCTGTTGCTGTGTAAAAACTGCTCCAAAATGTGGTGACTTAAAACAGCAGCTATTTGCTATCTCTCACGATACTGGGGGCTCAGCTGGGGGGACCTCATGGTGGTGGTGGGCTCACTCATTTGGCTGCATTCAGCTGGC